AGTAAACAGGTTTCCAAATTGATAATGCTTTGAAAAAATCAGGGACCAAAAATATTTTTGTTGGTGCACTGTCCAACTGGCTCTAGATTCGCTTACTACCCCATAGAAATTGTAAACAATTTTTTTAGGAGTTATGAAGTGCAATTTACATAATGAGAGAATATATACTAAAATCAGAACTAATTGCTTTATTTTTCTGTCCCGTCTGTAAATCCTAAGCAAGCGGAAGTTGTCACCGTTAAGAAGGATGTATAATGTATTGAAAATCGTATTTGTTTTAGATATGAATATGAATGTGTCACTTGAAAGCAAATAATTTGACCCTAAATTCCTTTAATGTGACACACCAAATAGTAGGGGTCCCAGAAGATTTACAAGAAACCCAAAGTGACAGGCACCTAGAGTTGTCCACAATTTGAAGTAGACCGACAGGTTCCCTTCAATGGAAATTATGCCAACAAATTAAGTTAACTTTTTAAAAATGTTTTTCATTGTGCAGCAGTAAGAGCCATATTTGCCAATTTCAGAGGCAGCCTCGGCATCCTCTTCAGTAGTGATCACCTCCTAACACAGTCCGGCAGAGCGGAGTGTGGGCAGAGACAGGCCGCGCTGTCACAGGAGGCTGAGCTCTCCTCCCTACACCGCTCGATCAGCCTCCTGTGACAGCGTGTCATAGAGGAGAGCAAGGTACAAACGCTCAGCGATCAGTGATTTGTGGATAATTGAGGACATGGTATGTGTACTAGTTCCTCAATTATGAATGAATGGTAGTGATCTGCATCCCCTCCTGTTCATTCATAGTTATAGTTGTAGTTATAGTAATCATACCATGCCCTCATGTTATCAATGAACAGTAACACTCATCTCAAACGCTCAGCGATCAGTGATTTGTGGATAATTGAGGACATGGTATGTGTACTAGTTCCTCAATTATGAATGAATGGTAGTGATCTGCATCCCCTCCTGTTCATTCATAGTTATAGTTGTAGTTATAGTAATCATACCATGCCCTCATGTTATCAATGAACAGTAACACTCATCGAGGATCCCTGTTCATTGATAACAGGGGATACAGAAAAAGAGAGGACTCAGTGTCCTCAATCTCTTTTTCTATTGTAAAAGGGAAATATCAGGGATCTGTTTAGACCCCTGATATTTCCCCAAAGCCCCTAAAAGTAAAGTAAAAAATAAAAATATTTAATAAAAAATGAATATCGAATGCCGCTCAGCGGCATTCGGCTATTCACTCACTGCTGTTCGGCATCTTTAAGAATAGCCCGAACAGCAGTGAGAAGCCTGCCGGAGGTTCGGCTCAGCCGATCCAACATCTCGAGTCGATCCAACATCACAGTCGAACTCCTTCTGCATTTCGGGTCAGCCGAACATGCTGAGCATGTTCGGCCGACCAGAAGCCACGCGAAGCAAGTTGATGCACGGCTGAAATCAGCCGTACCAGCCTGAAGTGAATAGCCGAACAGTGTTCGGCTCACTTCACTTCAGATCGGTCTTTCACTTGGCTGCCCTCGGCAGCTTAGTGAATAGACCCCTATATCTTTATCAAAATTTAGGCTGCAGCCTGGTATCTACCCTCTTCCCTAAATTGTTTAGTGATGCACACAGTAGACCTGGCAGTAGTAAAGACCCCGGTGCCATCACATAATGTGATAACATGCTTTAAAGGTCTGTGGCTATATTGTGCAGAGACCTTTGGGCAGCTAAGGTTAGGATTCATTAATTAATATAATGTGTATATGCAACCAGTAAGTGTTTACATGACACTTAAATTATATCTGAAAAAGGCGTTTAGTTGCAGTATAGATCTGTTTGGGATCATTTACATGTTTAATTATACATTATTAATTATAAGTCATATTTTGCTGTAGTTTAAACAAATCCAGTTTTTACAGTACAGTAATACAACCCACATGTGTTCTCACAGCTTTTTATAGTAAACAGGTTTCCAAATTGATAATGCTTTGAAAAAATCAGGGACCAAAAATATTTTTGTTGGTGCACTGTCCAACTGGCTCTAGATTCGCTTACTACCCCATAGAAATTGTAAACAATTTTTTTAGGAGTTATGAAGTGCAATTTACATAATGAGAGAATATATACTAAAATCAGAACTAATTGCTTTATTTTTCTGTCCCGTCTGTAAATCCTAAGCAAGCGGAAGTTGTCACCGTTAAGAAGGATGTATAATGTATTGAAAATCGTATTTGTTTTAGATATGAATATGAATGTGTCACTTGAAAGCAAATAATTTGACCCTAAATTCCTTTAATGTGACACACCAAATAGTAGGGGTCCCAGAAGATTTACAAGAAACCCAAAGTGACAGGCACCTAGAGTTGTCCACAATTTGAAGTAGACCGACAGGTTCCCTTCAATGGAAATTATGCCAACAAATTAAGTTAACTTTTTAAAAATGTTTTTCATTGTGCAGCAGTAAGAGCCATATTTGCCAATTTCAGAGGCAGCCTCGGCATCCTCTTCAGTAGTGATCACCTCCTAACACAGTCCGGCAGAGCGGAGTGTGGGCAGAGACAGGCCGCGCTGTCACAGGAGGCTGAGCTCTCCTCCCTACACCGCTCGATCAGCCTCCTGTGACAGCGTGTCATAGAGGAGAGCAAGGTACAAACGCTCAGCGATCAGTGATTTGTGGATAATTGAGGACATGGTATGTGTACTAGTTCCTCAATTATGAATGAATGGTAGTGATCTGCATCCCCTCCTGTTCATTCATAGTTATAGTTGTAGTTATAGTAATCATACCATGCCCTCATGTTATCAATGAACAGTAACACTCATCGAGGATCCCTGTTCATTGATAACAGGGGATACAGAAAAAGAGAGGACTCAGTGTCCTCAATCTCTTTTTCTATTGTAAAAGGGAAATATCAGGGATCTCTGATATTTCCCCAAAGCCACTAAAAGTAAAGTAAAAAATAAAAATATTTAATAAAAAATGAATAAATTAAAATAAATATAAAAAAATGAAAAACTTTATAAAAAAATAAATAAAAGTAAAATATTTAAAAATTTTGAAAGAATTAAAATAAAAAACATTTTCGGTATCGGTCTCGGCCTGACAATTTTTTTATTTCGGTTTCGTTTTTAAAATATCCATTTCGGTGCACCTCTAATTTATTTATTTTACTTTATTTCTTAAAACTTTTTTTACTTTTTTTTTACTTTACGTCATTGCTACCACATAGGTGGCTTACAAACCCGCTGTGTGATAGCATATTAGTGCTGACAGGTTTTCTTTAAGGTGACATTAGAAGTCTATTAGATGCCTAGTGTCACCTTTCCACTCAAGTGCTTGAATAGCTTCTTCCCCAACTTTTCTAGCCGGGGAATGACAGCTGAGGAAGCGGAAGTGATTGAATCAGTGTAGTTTCCGGCTCCATTGTGCGGGGAGGGGATCAGCGAACAAATCCTTTCACCCGCCGACACCTGTGATGCCGGTCTCAGGCCCGCAAGGCAGGGGTGTGGGGCGGGGCACATTCTTTACTGGCCCCTAGATACAATCTAGTGGTAGCTCGGCTGCCACAATCGTTTCTTGAATAAAGCCGACCATGGGCTTTACCCAGCTAATCAGAGTCCCGCTTGGAGTCTGTTTAGAGGGGCCTGCTGCCAGTGTTGTATGGCATACGACGTTGGAAGAAAAAGGGTTAAATGCCACCTCCACCAGAAACTGTACTCTTAAAATGTGACTCCAGGGAAAACTATTACTTTTCTATAGAGTGAGGGAGGGATTAGAAGCCATCAGGTTTTAGTGCTGTAGGACGCGTCACAGGGCAGATTACCCTTAAATGACTGTTCTGATGAAATTGAAGGAAAATCACCAATGGAGACACATCGGAGAATAGGAGCGAACGGCAGCGAGTGACCTGCCAGAGTTTCGGCTCAGCTGATCCAGATGTTGGATCGGCTGAGTCGAAGTCCCTCTGCACTTCGGCATCCGATGTACGGCTGATTTCAGCTGATGTACGGCTGAAATCATCCATACTGAGCCGGAGTGAATAGCCGAACGTTGTTCGGCTCTGTTCACTTCAACTACGTTATTCACTCAGCTGCCTCCAGCAGCTTTGTGAATAACCCTGTAAGTCTTCATATATCTTTTAGGGACACCAGGGCAAGATTTCTCCAGAAGAACTTCAGCTGCTAATGCCATTAAAATGATGGTGTCCCCAATGGATTTTCAGTTTTGGTTGAAGCTAGCCTAAAGTTTAGTATAAACTGGCAAGTTTAGTATAAAACAGAGGCTTAAATTCCTTACAATTATAAATAAAGTAAAGTAAGACTAAAGCTTCTGTTTTAAAGTAAAGAAATGTTGCAGTAAAATAAAATTTCTATGGAGATTGTGTTTCAAAAGAAAAACTGCACTAATTTTTAAAACTTAGCTTTCTGGAAAAGACTAATAATCAATAACTGTCAGCTCATCACTTCAGTGAATATTCTTAGTTTCTTCAAGGTCCCGTTCACACTTTGCCATGCGTGTGAATACATGCCATAGCATGTGGATCAACACGCATTCACACAATGTAGGGAAACCCACAACGCACACATTAAAATGGGCACATCTTTGCCCGTGTGTTGAAGCATGACACGCTGTAAAAAAAAATGTGAAGCTCACAGTTCAAACAGCTGCTTGAGTTTCCCTACTGCATTGATCACGTGTAGGGCAGCCCATTGAAATTAATGGGCTGTCCTGTGCTGACATGCATCAAACACCACAAAATGTGCATAAACATTTTACATCTTTGCAACTTTGAACTTTTTCTATCATATCTACAGTGTAGGTTATATACTTTGGAATCAAAGCCATGTACCATGGTACAAACCATATATAGTTTTCCATACACTTTACCTAGTATAATCTCTCTTTTATTGTCAGAAACCATAATATCTTGTAATATTCACCATGTCTTTTTTTCACATTGTATATCTTAATACTAAATTCCTTTTAGAATAGATTTCTGCAGTGACCTCACCTGACATCTGGGCCATATCCTGCACCTCATCTGTTTCCATGTTTCTATGATTATCTGTAAATTAGAATTCAAAGACTATTAATACTTATTTAAACGAACTAAAAACTAATAAGCACAATTATTAAAATATCCCCCTTGCTCTGTTTCTGTCTGTACCTGCCTAGGTATCAGACAGGAACAGACCTTGAGCCTTTTATACAGAAAAACAGAATTACAAAGATGTATAAAGAAATATCATTAGTAGCACAGGAGGACCAAATTTGTTATTTATTGTTAATTTTCTACTGCATAATAACCCAAAATGCAAACTGACTGCAACAAAATTAAGCAGAAAATTAAATGGCCTTGGGTCATTGTAGGCACAGAATTCATTCTCTCGGCTGATCCATACTTATGTTCCTTTTAATTTACTGAGCATGCATCGATGAACCTTGAGTCAGTTTGGTGACACGCGTACAATCAGCAATCAGAAACGAAAGCAATTTGCTGAAGAATGTCTCATTTGCCCAGGCAAGGCTGCATATCTGAGTAGGAGCCGTTGCTGGCTCCATTAATAATGAATACACCTCAAACAGTGGCAGATGGGTAAAACAGAAGCTCTGGTCTTGAACGTATGTAGAGTCCCTAAGTAAGACCATACAGGCCCCCTTCTACTAGGGAGAAGTAAATCTCCCAAAATAGCAAAGCAAGCCCGGGAGAGAGAGACAAACTGACTTCCTGTTTAACTTAACAGATGGCTCCACAGCTTTGGAACAAATAGTAGGAAACACTTGCCCCAGTGTTGCAACACATAATGTTCTGAGGACTGAGTTGCAAGAAATGGGAAACACCAGGGAAATACAGGCTTAGGGGTAGCTGGCTAGAAAAAAAGCAAAATTTTGACTTGGGTTGAAGATATAAGTGATGTTAATCTCTAGAGTCTTAAAGGCACATATGGTGGCTAAATAGGTAAGGGGACTTCTGAGCTAGTTCTCAAATCAACTATTATAGTCATGAAATTGCTAAGCAAACTTTTAAACTCTCACACCATATAATTCAAAAATATATAGTATTGTATAATAACCTAAGATTTTGCAAAACAAATGAAAAGGTGCAGAATGCCAGCTCTATGCTTCTGTATTTGTCACCTTTAGATTCCCTATATGTATGTGGATATACTTTGCCTGGATTATCTATAGATATGCATAATAGGAAGGTGACTTTAATGTGAGCATGCAAGGAAAAAAGCTGCCCCCGATGAATGGTAACTAAAAAGTGCAAACTCCAGGACTGCTCATGTCAGCTGACCTGAAACATGCATACAGGATGGGAAATAATACTTTTCAAGCTTCACTAGCTGCATGCTTTCCCATGCTGCATGCTTATCCATGGCCAGTGACTCAATAGTTAGTGAAACCAAGATTAGGATGAAGGCCTTGGAGCCATTACTACCTTACTAGACATCTTTAAATTCCTTTTTTTTTAATCAGAGAGGGCTTGTGTGTCTCAGGGCCACGTTAAGTATGTCTTATCCTTTTTTCTTCCAGCAATTGTATTTAAAAGGGCATACCTGAGTGGGCAGATACATGATTTGGGAACCACATTTTAAAGGAAAACAGGAATAAGTAGTATGTTTTGTTACCATAATTTATCCAATAGTAATTTTCTTTTTCCTTTTATAGAGGTGGAATAGACCCCAGTTCTGCTTCATTACTGAATCCCTCAATACCAAACACATTGAGGTGTGAGTCAGTGGTAAGGAGTAGCCTACATATTTTCTCGTTAAATGAAAGATGCATGTAAGATATAGGGGTCTATTCACTAAGCTGCCGTAGGCAGCCGAGTGAAAGACCGACCTGAAGTGAAGTGAGCCGAACGCTGTTCAGCTATTCACTTCAGGCTAGTACGACTGAAATCAGCCGTACATCGTGCAGGAGGAGTTCGACTCAGCCAATCCAACATCTGGATCGGCTAACCCGAACCTCCGGCAGGCTACACGCTGCTGTTCGGTCTATTCTCATAGATGCCGAACAGCAGTGAGTGAATAGCCGAATGCCGCTGAACGCCATTCAGCTCGGCTGTTCTGCTCTGTCCCTAAGAGGTACCGAGCAGAACAGAAAAATAGTTCAAAAAGTACAAAAAAATTGAAAACGATTGTGCGGAGCTAGCAATGACAGCTAGCTCCGCCCAACAGTTTTCTATTGGCCGGCGGTTCTGCTGCCGTAGAAAAACACGCTCACGGCCGCCAAGGAGAGAAACGCTGCTTTCTTTTTTTTTCTTTATTCTGACACGGAGCCGTGTCAGAATAGGAAAAAAAAAATTGCCCATAGGAATGTATTGCTAGATTCTTATTGGCTATTTCAATTTTCAATAGCCAATAGTAAACTAGCATTGCACCTGCCCTCTGCTGATGGACCTGATGGAGAACCGCAGCAGAGTGCGGGTGCAATGCTAGTTTACTATTGGCTATTGCAAATTGAAATAGCCAATAGGAATCTAGCAATGCATTCCTATGGGCAAAAATCTTTTTCTTTTTTTTTCTATTCTGACACGGCTCTGTGTCAGAGTAAAGAAAAAAAAAAGAAAAAGCAGAGTTTCTCTCCTTGGCGGCCGGGAGCAGGAGACTCCCGGAGCGCCCGGGAGAGTTTGCTGTCTGGAGATCAGTGTCCCTGGTTAGCTGGTAACCAGGGATGCTGATCTCTCTGCAAGTGGCCAGAGCCAGCCGTAAGATCACGGCTGGCTCCGCCCAGCTGTCAGAAGCAGGCTGTCAGCCGAGGCATATGCGCTCGGTTCGACTGAGCCGCTTGGCCAAGTTCGGGAGCTTTACGGGCCATAGTGAATAGCCCATACAGCAACCTTCAGTAGAACCGAAGGGGTCCTGGGGCGGAAGCTAGCCGAAGGATCGGCCGAAGCTACGGCTAGATTCTTCGGCTGCTTCGTGAATAGACCCCATAGTCTGAAGCTTTTGGAAGCACGTGCAGAATATATCTTACATGTTTACAGAGTTCATGAAAGCAAAGAAACCCTCCTTTTTTATCTAGCATAAAACCAGCCGCAGAAAACTTACAAGTGCTTTACCTCATTAAAGCTGCATGCTCCTGCATTCCTTTACCATGGTAACCAACACTGACACCCTACTTTAAAATGTGGTTTCAGTCTTGGTTCTATTGGATTGAACCGTCTAAGCGCCTCAGATGGAAGTCCAATTGATCTTTGAATCTGAGTGACCCATGGATAGATACAGCCCCTACTTCTTCCCTTTCACCCTAACTAATTTTTTCCATTTTTTTGTACTTCCTTAATTTTCTATTAAAATAAGGTGTCAAACATGGAACCCAACGTTGTCTCACAAATTGTACTTTGTGACCATTTAGCAACTACTGCATAGAGCACATAATACAGCTTGTTACAGATATTCTGTTTTGAACAGCAAAGTTTCTCCTTAAACTCTGCTCATGAGTTTTTTTTGCCTTTGTCTTGTTGAAGGCTGGATTCACACTTTTTCACTGTGTTAATGCACATGCCCTAACATGCTTTGCATTAAGACAGCCCATTTAAATGCAACTGAACAATTTGTTTGTGATGCAGAGCACCACAATGCATGGTAGTGGATTACCTGTGCATTGTGCTGTGCTACGACAGAGGTGAAAAAAAAGTTGTAATACTTGCCTCCAATCTTCAGGACACAGTAGTGATGTAGTGGGCAATATAAAGAGCCACAGTGTGCAGAAGGGGACCAGACATCTAAAACATCTGGAAATGTGTTGGGTGCTAAATATTCATCAGCTGCCGAAACTCTTGAAGACAGTGAAGATCTGAGGCACAGCCCACTAGAGAGGTAATATAACGCATTTAATTTTGCTGAGCTTTTTAATTTTAGTTTTTTTTTTATATACAAATAAATATGAAGTACATCTCTGTATCCCTTGGAAGACCATGTAAGTGCAGAAAAATACTAATTGTTCTGCCAGAAAAGATCTCGGCCCTAAAGTTCTGTTGTGGGTTGACAACACACAGCATTTTAGTGGAATGGATGATGTCTGCCTTTCTCAGTCTTCTGGGAAGACAAACTAACCTAACTGGCTAACCTAAGCAGTATGTTGTAAATAAAGAACACATAAAATAATAAGTGATGTGCCGTGCTTACCATTTTTGACACCCAGGGCTACTCTACAAGACAACAATATATGAAATACTTATATTGTAACAAATAACAATAATGTAGTCAGAACCCACTGAGGATGCTATGGCCATGTGTGGCACCATTCTAGCTGGGTCCTCCTCTCTTAACCATGGTATCGCATTGTGAACTTCACCAATAAGCTTTTTACTGTAAACTCCCTAAAAAAGACTAGAGGCAACCATCTCTAGAATATTGATTCACTCAAAAATCAATTAGATACCATCCTAAGAGATCGTAATATACAGGGGTACAAAAACTAAGACCACACAGAGACTCATATATACACATGCACGCATAACACATACATAGACACACAAAGGTTGAACTTGATAGACCTGTGTCTTTATTCAACCACAAATACTATGTAACTTGCATAGACCTTTGGTCAGCCAAGCCCAAGTCAAAGGTTGGTTACATTGCACCAACATGCATAATTGCATATTTCAACTACTCGCAAATACCATACTAAAACGGTGGGATAGAACCTAAAATCCTAGTAGGAATTGGATGTCTGCATCACACATGAATTTTGGTTGGCAACAAGAACGTAAACAGTATTGCATGCATCATTTACAGAGGATATGATGTTTCGAGACATTGCATGTAAGAACTTCACCAGCTATTAGTACCGTGTTTCCCCGAAAATAAGACACTGTCTTATTTTCGTGCTAGGTTTTATTTATTTTTTTAATGTACAACAATCCGCACTTATTCATGTAGAAAAGTCTACATGTATTCATGTACACAAATATGATGTTCAGTGCAATCAGGGGTGCCGTACCTTTCCAAGAGCAATTTGTTAACCAATCACTGGCCAGAATGAGCGAAGAGCACTTTCACTATCGATTCCTCACAGGCGGAGTGCATTTGGTACCACTCCGCCTGTAACAGG